ATGTTGGGTACTGCATAAACATTTAATACATTTATTTGGCAGTACCTATACGTCGTACTGCGTATGAATCTAGTAACTTTATCTCACTTATCTAACTTTATATTATCTGACTAACGGTATGTAGACGTCAGACAAGCAATATCTACATGTAAACATCTTGTTTATAAATTTATAACTGAATGACAATATTTTAAATTCCATAATTATATTTTTTAATTCCATAAAGACATAATTACATAAAGCATACATATTTCAATGAGTTTGTTCCTAACTATGATTAGTTGGAATTTGATATCATTACGTGATCGTTATCACTTATTTATCAAATTAAGATATACATAATAGATAGGTAAATCTTAATTCGTTTTATAATAGAAAATATGCGTAAGGTTGTTACCTCGCAAGGTTTATAGATAAACCTTGGATACCACGAACATTGAAATATACTTATAAAAAAAAATATATATATATACATAGGTAATATTATATTTTAATCCCGGGTTGATACTGCCCGTTTGATTGAAGTTGTAATGATTTCTGAGGTAAATAACTACAAACAATGATCAAAACAATATTAAATAATATTATAAAAAAGCAAAAAAGTTAAAACATAAGAAAAACCCATTTTCCAAACATTTGCATTTTTGAAGATATAGCGTTTCACTATAGAAGGGCAGTTTGGTATTGGCAAAATCATTCAATTACAATTATTTAAAATGACGATTAATTTAAAATTAATTAAACCACATAAAACATTTATCTCATACAGATAAGGATTTCTCCAATGGTCGTTAAAATAGGTCATACCTAGTTCATTTTTACTAATTTCTCAAAATTTTAAGGGTAAAAAATAAAATCTCAGAACTGGGTTTTACGAATACGATTACGTTTAAATAAAATAAAAAGTGGGTATCCATGCACTTGAGTTATTCGTCTATAATAAAATATGTGAGAAATTTTTAAAAGATGTCTACGGGTCAGTCTTATAATGAATACTTTTTAAAAGAATTCAAGTACAGAATAGATACTGATACATATTTTAAAAGTAGGTAGGTATTTAAGATACGTATTTGAATACTCAGTAAAAAAATTATTTGAGTACCAGAACGATTTTCATGTTTTCGTTTAATATATTCTTCGTAGAAGTATTTGTATTTTCGGTTGAGTGTAATTCAGAGAAAAAAAATATTATACCTATTACCTAATATTCTCATATTTTTTTTTATTTTACGTGATTAAAATTAAAATAGAAAATATATAAATTAACAAGAAAAAGTATTTGAAAATTAGAATTTGATTTTAAATAAGTAAAAATCCTTTGAAAAAATATTGAAAATATTTTGTCCGAGTGTTTTTTTAAAGTATTTCAAAATGTACGTACTTGAGACTTGAGTAGGTACTCAAAAAGTATATGAATACTTTTACAGCTTTACTCAAATACTCTGACTCAAGTAGGTACAGTATACAAGATTGTTATGAGTCCATTTTACTTATGAACTCAGAACAGTTTCGGAGAAACTATACAACATTTTCCTTGATTCAGTTATGTCAAAAGAATAGAGGTCTCCCTTGCATGGCTATTAGATGGTGAAAGTTTAAAAAATGTTACAAATGAACATTTTCTGTTTCAAAAAGTGTCGTCAATCTAAAATGTTGTATTGATATAATTTAAATGTTCAATCACATAGGTATTTACTAGTTATTATTACTTAGACGCAACTATAGGGTTAAAATTCAGAGGGTCTACAGCCCACCTAACAAAACTATTTATTTAAAATAACCCATAGGTGGCTTATATCTAAATCAATAAGGGATATTTTTGGAGGGCGTCAATCTTAGTGGCTAAGCCCCCCCCCCCCCAAGTTGCAACAATGCTTAAGTACCGACTCACTAACAATGATTAAACCACTTACAAAATAAACATTACTGATATTTTGAGGAGTGGGGACATATGGTATATAAGTTTCAGAAGGGGCTAGAAACGTAAATAGGTACCCCTATTTAATAGCTAATGACTATAGGATTACTATTTACTACATAAAAGAGCCATAAATAATAAACTCTAAATAATATAATTTATGACTTATTATAGACATACATCATTAATATGGTTTTAATAAGTAAATTACAGCACTATATAGTGAATCATTTTTAAAAACTCAAATAATGTTTTATATAATCACAATATTATTACATTAATATTGTATAATAACGATATATCTACGTATTATATAATTAATCTTACAGTGCCATAATATCATACAATACAATATAATAGGTTTAGGTATAATGAGTAAATTAATGGTTTTGAAAAAAAAAATGTTAACAATTATTACGTATGATATATTATATTATAATTTATATGTAACGAAAAACAATAGCTTAACCTACAACTAAAAAAAAACACTTACAATTTATATGATAATGTAGGTAATTGATAAATGATAATACAATATTTTATTTGTGCGATTTACCCTTACTCGCTTTGGTTCATTCACTCTTACCCGTGACCTTCACTGGATACATTGATATCTTCCATCATAGACACAATACATTGCAGAATGGTAATCAACTGGACTCATTTATAAACTCATCGGGGGATACTGGGATAGGTCATATTATTAGCTTTGTAATCCAAATGGTTTTTTTTAGAAAATTCATAACTTAGAAGAGAGACAATAAAGAGTGTATTTAGTATGTACATTACTTGGGAAAGCAAAGCGAAGGCAGTTCTCCAACGGGTCAGCGGTTTCAAGGTAACAAAAAAAAAGTATGTACAATATTATTTTCAGAGAATTAAATATTAACTAAAATATCATGAAATGTATATATTATTATTTTATACGATGTATTAAATGGATTGTATTTACTATACTTTTAACTTTTATAACAAATAACTTAATTCCGTTAACTCCAGATCTAAAATACAGAAGCTAAAACTGTATTTAAAACTCGAAAATAATCAAATCATTTGTACCTATTACATTCGTAAATATAACTTGGGTTATACCTAAAGTTTCGAACTTCGAATCAATTTAATGGAATTAAAATGGGAGTAAAATCGTGAGATTCAAAACACTCCAATGTGTGCCTGCGCTGTGTACTGAATGTATAAAATAGTAAATACAATATCGCAATATTATCCATGTACATTTTCATGTATTTTGTACATGATTATCATTGACATATATTTCGTAGTATTAAAATTAAATCAGATATTCGTGCACATTTTATGTGTTATTGTTCAAGAGGAAGAAAATAATATATGGTAACAAAAAAAGTTCATAAGTGATGATAAATATATTACCATAATATCATATTATAGGTACCTACTACGACATGCATTTATACTAATGTTGATACTAGGTAAAGGTAGGTAAGTATATGTACTATATACATATAGGTAGTAGTTATATTATGGAAGTAATAACGATGATACAACACAGTGCTTGTTAGGTTATATTACAAATGTACCAGGTACATATTATAGTAGGTAGGTATATAAATGTTATAATATAAATTATAATAATATAATGTAATATATACTCAAATAATTTTAAAAACAAGGTTAACGTTTATTCATAATATTGGGATTTGATTTGGCTGAAATAAAATGAATAGTTCCAACTTAATAATTATTTGCGTATAATGCACTATATATTATGGTCGGAAAACTGAAAAGGGTTTAGCTATATAATATAGCATGATCATTGATCACTGATCATATAATTATATAATGTAATAATATCGTGACATTAATCTAAGGTCTGGTTGTCGACGACTTATCGTTTTATATCGAATTTAAAAACGCTTTGTACGCTGTAGGTACCTATACGATGATTTGATAGCTTTGGTAATCGTATAGATATATTATGAATCAATGAGTCATGTACACATTGTGTTTTATTTTCAAATTTTATGACATTTTTTCTTATTTCGGATGTAATTTATTTATGTATTATTATTTATATGTACGCCTACCGACAAATTTTTATTTCTTATACGACTCGTACCTACCTACCTACCTATATATAGTATACAATGTGGTTATTAAACTTCAATATTTCAATATTATTATAACGGCCCATAGTTAAATTTATTATTTTATTTGAGTATATTTGTAGGTAGCCAGTAAACGCTTGCATAGTAGGTACTTCTATTATTACCTATGTAAATGTAGTATAATACATAAATATTGTGGACGGTGAGCTAACAATAATGCTGAATGTTCTACGTATATTTTTCATTATCAACATTATGTAAATGGTGGATAAATTATTTTTCAATAATATCTTAAATTAGCAGTGTTGAACTTTTAATTGATATTATTTCAATATTCTATAGAACATAATATGATTTTTTTTTTTAAATTTGTGGTGGACAAATGGGTCACCTGTCGGGGGGGGGGGGGGGGGCCAATTTGACCGGAGTCAAATTTGTTTTCGACCAATATAATCGGGCCCTGAATCAAAATTTTTTATAAACGCATGTGCTAAATAATATGATGTATCGACTAAAATATTGAATCGACAGTAGTTTTCATACAACATGATACGTACCTATAATATTATACAATATTGTACATTTTAATAATATTACGCACACGCACCCACGTCTTCGCGACAAACACTATTCCGAATAGACCGAATTATTTCCGATGGACGAGTGGCCGTGTGCAACGATAGTATATTAAGCTTGATCAAGCGGCGGGGGCATCGTGCGTGGGTCTGGTGTACGGCCGGTAGGTGGTGGGTGTGGGTGTTGGTTAATACATGAATACATAATAATACAATAGTAATAATAATAAAAATATAATAATACATAATAATATGCTGTCGCGTCCCTCCCCCTCCCTTCCAGGCCATCATCACGCAGCAGCCCATGTCTGTCCGCTCATCGGGTGACGCGCGACCGCGGCGGAGACGGACGCGGCCCTGGCCGGATGATAGTAGTTGCGTAGTCCTGTCGTGTTCGTCCGCGTCGCTGTCCACCTCGACGCTCTAGACGGGCAGCGGGACGGGGTCCCACGTGAGGTTCTGCAGGTACGTCGTGTCGCTGATGTCGTTGTCGCGTTTGTCGAACAGCGCGGTCGCGCTGCCGTTGCGGGGTCGCCGGCGCCGCCGCCGGGCGAACGATCGCGTGTAGATCTTCAGCACCTGACAGTTGCACGTGACGGCCAGCGCGACCAGTATGCCCTGCAGCGAGTGGCCCACGTTGTACGCGATCCACGCCACCGGGTCGGATGCCGGTGACCCGTTCCTGGCCACGTAACCGAACACGTTCACCGCGAACAGCAGCGTTGCGATCTTCACGTACAGGTGCAGCTGCAGCGTGCGCTTCCGGTGCATCTTCAGCCGGGTCTTCTTGTCTACCTGCAGCCCGACAGTGGCCCGGGCGGTCAGCCAGCTGCGGACCAGCGAGTCGACGATGGCCGCGAAACAGCACAGCGCCGGTACGGCGAACGTCACGTTGTAGATGGTCTTCTCGAAAAACCTGCAACACGCGTGTTCGCGTCGGTGTTATATTATTATTATTAAATTGTGAGATTGTTGTTGTGTCAAGACGTGCCTATCATGTAGGCAGGTAACAACACGTTGACAGCGCGCCTGCAGTCTGACGTGTACAAACCATTTATAATATTGGATAATAAACCGAACAGAAACTAATAAAAAATTTTGTAGTCACGTTGTACTTTATATTTATATTTTATAAGTTATATTTTCTACGTACTATACACATATAATAGATAGGTACCTATACGCTATACAGTGGAGTATGTCCAGAGAGTGTCACCCTAATTGTGTCAAATTTATAATAATTTTAGCAAATTAATCCATCTAAATGCCGTTTTTCCAACGCAGTAATGATATATTATTAGCAGGGCTCGTAACTTCATGCACTAAAAAATGCATAAATAAGCATGCATTCATGCACTAAAAATTGTCAAAATATGCATTAAAATATGCACTTAAAAGTTCGAAAATATGCATTTATATGCCTTAACATTTTTAAATTATGAACTCAAAATATGCATTATGTAAAAAAAACATGACCAAATTTTAAAATAATAAGAATAAATCCATACATTTTAAAAGTATTTTATTCCTTTTTATTTTTATATATTTAACAGTCAAAATTAATATTATAAAAAATAAAATTAATACTTGTGAAGTTCAAATAGCTTTGACATCTTTATAAATTTTAATTAGGTAGTCATTTTTGTCTAATTTGTGTACACCCTTATTCAGCACCAACAATGAAAACATTTGGAATTAAATATTAGGTTTTTCATTTTGAGATAATTTAGTAATATATATTCTATAAGTGTATTTTTTATGTTTTCCAACTTAAGAGGGAGCACTAGTAGACAAAATATGGCATAAAACCATGGTTTTGTAATTCAAGTAATACGGCTTATTGAAGTAGCTTACAGTAAAAATACCTATTATAAAAATTGTAGAGTAGAACTTTTTTTACAATCGTAAGAAGCCCGATTTTCGATATTTTTATTAATTAGCTAAATAATTAATCAATAAAAAATTTAAAAAACCGTTATAATTTACCATGTGATATTGGACAATTGGAACAAGATATCAAAAATCGGAAGAAACTTTTCAAATATTTGTCTAAAAAATATTTTTATGAAATAATAGGCATTAATGACTGTAAAAAATCAACTATATGCCAAATATGACTTTACACCCAAAACATGCAAAAACATGCACTGTCAAACTTCATATTATTATTACTATTGTTATGAAACGGATTTGTATCACAGTTAACATGTTTTCCTGTGTAGCAAAAAAAAACATGCAGATGCATGAACTTACGAACTCTGAATTTATGAGGCATTAATATGTCATTAAATTAGAATATTTTTATAGATTATAATTAATTATAGGTGCTGTTGAAATTTGAAATGGCAGCATTCAAATCTATTGATTTTCAATGATGTTTCGTATACATATCACAATTATACAATTTAATTGTGGTGATATGGAACTTTTCGGACAATGTGATTTATATTATCATATTTTATTATCCGCAATATATAAATAATATGTTATTTGAATAAAGATACTAACTATTCACGATGCATGGATATTTCTTATAAAGTGGATGACCACTTCGTGAGAAGAACATAGTACGCAAACAACTGCGAAGAACAACTGATTTTGGATACGACAATTATTAATGTATTATTGTCATTGTTATTAGGTACTTATTTGTAATTTTTGTTACATATAGCAGGAACAACTCTTAAGTAGGTACCTCTATGTATATGTATGTACTATAATAGTATGTGGTTGCTGGTTAGTGGCTTTATTATACAATAAATTATTATGCTGCAGCGTTTTTAAAGATCAATAATATAGCGATCTATACACATCTATACGTTGACAGGAAAAAAAATTGGAAAATGTCGCCCACACCTTAGTTTGAAAAAAGGGTGTGGCAACAATACCTGTTGAAGGATTTTTCATTACAAATTTAACTTTAGTGATTTTGTAGGGGAAGGATTTCCGAGCCAACTTCAAAACTAAGATAGATAGTTTACGGCAACGTCGAGTAACAATTTTGCCCAAAAAAATTTTCAAAAATGTTTGTTCTAAATAGGAAAGGGATTGAAAACCGTTTTTAAAACGACGTGTATGTTACTTAGATTTTTGAAAGCAAGGAGATTATTTTGACGCTTATAACTGCGCTATTCTATTTATTTAAATGTCGATCTATACGCTAATAGATAGAAATTTGGAAAATGTAACTTTTTTTCGAAGTAAGGCGTTTGCGACACACCTGTTGATTGCTTTTTCATTACAAATTTTACTTAAGTGAATTTTGTAGTGGAAGGATTTCCAAGCTAAATAGTGTAATAGTGTATATAAATAAATGATAAAATGAAAATATTTTATATATTATATCAAATTTCAAAAGTATTAATTTATTGAAAAATGAAACATTTTTCCATCTGCTAACAAGTAATATTTCAGAAATGGAAATGTCTCCCCTTGCGTTATAGCAATATTATAAATTATAATAATATAATATAATATAATATAATATGTATATACTGACCAACAGTTGTACGGGTTGAGGTTGTCGATGGTTTGGTGGTTCACGGTCACTCTCATCACGCTAGCTGCTATCACCGACAGCGAGGGTACGCCCCAAGCGAACAAACTATATTTGACGAATCTTGAAATGAGCAAATTTACCGGCTCCGGTCGGGGGTTGAGATTCACATTATTGCGGAACGTTATCAACATATCGTACGTCATCACACACAGCCAGCTGATGATGGCCAGACGGAGATAGTGTATTCCAAACGCCAAGCACAGACAGAGATTATCTTCCTGGAAAGTGGAAACATAGGTACATAAATTACAATAAAATTAAACTCGTTTTAACGGCGAATATCATTTATGATTAATTATTAATCGAATTGACACATTTAACAATATTATAGATGTAGGTATTACTCTTATAATATTTGTAGGTATTACTCTTATAATAGATGTAGGTATTACTCGACTCCGTTGCTGAAAAAATTTACTATTAATGTAAAATTAAAAAGTAGTGCACTGTCTACTTGAATTCAATTTTTTCTATAGTTTACAGCAAGTCTTTAGAGTAGGTATCAAATTTAACTTATAATAAATGAATAATTGGTAAACACGAAGAATTTTCATGCATCGACTTTTCTATGTAATGTTATTACTTATTGAGATTTAAATGCAATATACTCTTAGCAGTCAACTTGTTCGATTCACGTATAAAGCAATAATCAATTAGCAATGATAAGTATTGTAGTAGGTAAAATAGCAGTAGGTAATTACTAATTTTGTAATTAAAGATGGTTGGTTCAATATTATTTAATATTCGTTCCCTGTATTGTTGTGTAGTTGTACATATATATGTGCATTGGCTGACTTAATTGTACGTTTTCAATGGAATGTATTTCATTGTTGTATTTCATAAAATTTAAAACAACTTTATTCTCTGACAACCGACAGTACTTATAACTTATATCACTCTAGTGAAAAACTCGGATATAAAGTGAATAGGAAAGAAAACGGGTTTAAAATATATCTATTCTTTCCAAGGCAGGGCCAGTTAATGATTTTTTTTTTTAACTCAGTTAATGCCCAGCCTTGATTCTTTCCAGAGTGTTCAGACAGAGTTTCAGTAGATAAAGCGCATGTCAAGTTTGATTGAAATTATTCCAGGCTTTCCAGTATTATGCTGAAATATACATGTATTCATACAGGAATTAACTTTCGTAACTATAATATATATACAGGGTGTTTTTATAAGCAAGCTCCCCTATTTTTATGCTTTAAGATTCGTTTCTAGGAGAATTTACATTACTCAAATAATAATCTAAATAGATAATAGTATAATAATATATCTATATATATAATATAAATGCATGTTTGTCTGTCAGTCTGTGTGTGTATCCTTTATGCATTCCTAAACGGCTGGATCGATGTTGATGAAATTTGGTACAAAGATAGATTAGACCTCTGGGCAGAAGATAGGTGAATTTAAAAAAGCAGAGGACCAACCCCGGGAAGTGCTCAAATAGGGATTTTGAGATTTCCAATGGGAATGTTTGTTACCATGGGTTTTAAAGCTATTTTTATAATAATAAATTATTGGCTGCCATTGGTTTAAAACATATTAGTATTTTACTCATATAGAGTTGGCATTTTTAATGAGCAACGAATTGCACGGGATCAGCTATAGTTATATAATCGAATGTTTTGTGGATGCTATTTTTTTTACAACGTTCGAGTTACTAATATTTATTATTCACTATTATAAACATTACTTCTTGTCATTATCATTCACGAACATTTTTATACTTTTGTTTCTAGGAAAATCTACCTGATTCAAATGATGAACTAAATGGGTTAGGATGTACAAAATTTCTTTGTAACGTATATAAATATGTTATTTATACTCACAATTAGTTGGAATTACAAGTATTTTATCAATAAAACTATAGTTAACCTATTAGTATTTAAATCATTAATTTTAATTTAATGGTTTCAACTGAATTTCTTAGTTCTATTAAGTGTTTTAATAAAAAAGAGCCAAACATTTTTTTTTTTTAATTGAATCAAAGCACAAACATTATTGTAAAAGTGATTAGTTTTTTCATTCTTTTCTCGTAGTTTTTTAAGAAGAAACGATGACGGTGATACGTTTTTACATCAATGCGTATTTTTCTTTGTATGTGTGTGTGATGATTGTGTGTGTGTGTGAAAGTGAACCAATATGTACCAATGACGTTTAACTTCTTTAGAAGTTGTTCTGGATTTCACGGAATTAAAAAAAGGAAAACCTTATAGAATAATTTATTTTGTTTAAATGTCGAAAATTCTAAAAATATTTAAAACAATAATAACATATTTCTATAGATTAAATTCCTATAAAAAAAAAAAATTAATAAAGAAAATAATTAATAATTAATAAATTATATAAAGAAAAATGTATGTTGTTTTGAACGATCTGTGATAGGTCAAGTTATATTATTTAGATTTAAATTTGAACTATTGATTAATATTGTTATCTCAAGAGGTATTATAATATAGGTGTGATATAATATTTTTTTTAAAATTAAAAGTACTTATTTATAAATGAATATTGTTATTTCAATGTAATGTCAATAATTATAAATTTACTATCAGTAAACTACCATAAAATGCGTATTACCTGAACTCCTCCGACACCAACAACATAGAACAGTTGCGTTAAAAACATATTTGCCAGCATGTACATTAATGCAGTGCCAGACATTGTCCTCAGATCGGAAAACAAACTGAAAACAAACAAAAATTAAAAATCATATTAGTTACAGTTTACGTAGATAATATTATTATTAGGTATTGTTTTTGTTTGTATTGTCTACGATCTGAAGTTATATACTAAATCTACTTCATAATATTAATAACGGCGTATAGCTGTGCAGGTATGATACCAGTGGCGTAGACAGGAATTTTACACTGGTGGGGGGAGGTATAATATATTCATAATTTTTAAGATAAATCACAAGCGCGATCCCGCACTATAATATTATTAATATAAAAAAGTGGACAAGTGGGTACTGGTCTGCTGTACGGTAGGCAAAAATTTAAAATTCCATGTTTTTACTGGCCCGATGAAACTTTTCATATTTTCAAAAAAGTTTTAACTTTTAATTTTGCTTTTTTAGACCTTTAACTTGATTTGTATACCTAATCCACAACTAAAACTGTTTATTATACTTTACATAATCTCACCACCTTACCAAATTAAATAATAGAGATTTATTAGCTGTAATTGATTTATTTATTAAAATTAAATTAATACTTCAATAATAGTATCCATCACTCTTTGGTAAGTAATGACAAGTTTCAAAACTTTTCAAGTTTCATGAAAAGTTTTTCTTGAAAACTTTTAAAACTTTTCAGCCTTATATCTCTGATAGTAGGTGTCTAGATAAGTAAATTTATAGAAATTTATCAACGTTAGTAGACAAAAAAAAATGAAATTTTTTGTTAATAGATCAAAATAAGTAAAAATATTTTGAAAATATATGTATAGGAAATAATAAAATAAAAACATTTCGAGAAAATTTAATTTATCTAATTGTATAGGTTATTAATTTTTGAATTACAACAAAATAAGAAAATGCCTATGATATTTTATTAATTTAAGGCTGAATATAAAATGTCCAACTTCATACTCTCATAGAAACACTAACGAAAACTCATGAGAAACCTTGTATTAGATTTTTAAGGTTTTTGAATCAACAAAAAAAATTTTAAAAAAATTAAAAAGGAAAACTAATAAAAATCTGTCTATAGGTTAAAAAAAATAAAAATATTTTGAAAATTTTATTGTGTATAGAAAATGTTATACATATAAACATTAGGTGAAAATGTAAATTATCTACTTTACGGTTATTTTTTTTATAGTTACACCAAATAACAAAATCTATTTTAAGAAAACTAGTTTTGAGTAAAATCTCTGTTTTTTCCTAATTTTTTTTTGTTCGTTCAGACTTAAAATTTAATGATTTTTCAATTTTGCCAAGAATTTTTCACTTTTGATCAACTTTTCCCCAAAAAACTAGATTCATTTCCTTACGCGTAAATATGTCGAAGTAGAAAATCAGCATTTTTACTTCCCCAAATGAGATTAAGGACAAAAAAAAAACATAATTGTAAAATCAATACAATAATTATCGTTCTGCACTTAGAATCTTAAAAAAAAGTCATGTGGGGCGGACTCATCCCTCATACCCACCCCCCCGTGTCTATGCGATTCCTAATGTCAAAAATATTCTACTGCAGTTTGCAGTTATGCATTTTCCTTTAGGAAAACCTTTATATTAAGGCCGCAGCTGCAGTAGTGCTATACATTACGGATGTACGAGAACGAAGAGGAATGGGTAGGTAGTGAAAGGGCGACAAAGTACCATTTGTTAAGGTGACATTTCTGTGTTGACAGAGATATTCTCTACAGTTATACCGTGGTCTTCATCATTATTGACATGTCCTATTGCTAAGTCTTTACTTCGTCTTCTACGTTTTCGTACGGTTCACTCCGCCCCCTCCGCCTTTCAAGTTGGACTTCGATATTTTTATACGTCACTGCTGTTATGGTAGGTAATCATTTATTGCAGATTTCAGCTTTAAAATAATGAATACTATATCAGTTTAACAAATCTATCAAATGTATGCAAAGTTGTGTGATTGCCGATTGGTAGGTTAGTCGGTTGGAGAGATAATGATAAGCTATTATTGATAACAAACTTTTGTTCTAAAATGTCAAACGTTTTGAAGAATATTTAGTATGCCAAAATAAAACAATGTTTCTAAAATAAATGTATAGGTTTTAAATTCGGGTAAAAATTAAAGCACATTTTACATAATATAAAAATCTACATACAATGCACATTAATATAAGTATTTTCGTACAATAGAAATACATACGTAGTGACGCCAACTATCCATATATGTGATATTATGTCATAGTTATAATATGAAATGTTGAAATATATTAAAATCTACATTATTATTTATTGTACACCATTCGTTTGAGGCATTTGAGTACAGCTATCTACTACTAGTATTAGACAAATTCCAGACTAGAAACGATATAAATCATTAACTTGTAAGTAAAAACCACGAATTAGGTATGTACCTGCAGCTATTGAAATACAATCTATTATAGAATTTTTAGTATATCGATCACCATATTCTTGCGTTGTGATGTTATTATACCGGTTATGCTTTGTATTTTATATTTGTAATTAAGAGGACGTCGAACCCAGTATTAGTATGTAAAATATAAATGCTCATAACTCACTTAAAAATTAAAATATCGTAAAAAACCAAAGAGAGAACACAGATAATGTTGTTACCTAAAAGTTTGATTATAGGTCAATTCACTCTAATATCAAAATTGACAGCACCCTCTATTGAAACTAGCGAACGAAAATGTCCGATGTCGTACGTGTGTAAGACGGAGACAATACATGCGGGTGCGATGTCCTCTTGACGTGTTAATATGCTTTTTCCAGGTTTTTTTTTATTTATCCACCCACCGTAGGACCCGGTTGGAGAATATTTCATGCGGGAAAAGTCAATACTAGTCGTAGTTATCTGTAATTCAAGCCACGGGTATAGTTTTTTTTAAGTATTTTTATTTGAAAACAAGTTTATAAATGTCAACAAAAAATAATAAATAACCAATTATTTGTAAAAAAAAAACTAACAAAACAATAATGCGAGGAATGGAATCAGATATACTGGATTTTTTTTATTGTCTTTCGTTCAGAATAATATACCTATGGCCGCTTTCTGTTTATATTTTTTTCAAGTCGTTCAATTTTTCAGAATTCAACAAGTCAGATATTATTAACCTTTTTTACTGCCATTTAGTGTCGTATGAACGGTACCCGGGGGAATCTGTACCAACTACCGGATAGTCAACCAGTAGATATCAATAAAACACAATTTTATTTAGTACTGACCTAGTGTTGTTGTACTTGATCCACATAATATATTTTAAAAATGAATGTGCACAGACTTACAGTTAGTAATATATTTACTATCTATAATTTATACTTGAACCTATCGAAAACAATAATTGGTAAAACATATTATAGGACTTGTTACAACAGATTAAAATTTTCCAAACATTTTTTTTTTTACTTATGTATTCATTTTTATTTTTTATTTATATCCGTAATTTGTATAGTAATGTAGATTATTAAAATCTATGACGAGTATAATATAATATACAACATTGCTTATTCGAAAAACTATACCAGAAGAAGTCATATTCCACAATATCGATTGTCTATATTACTTTAAATTGAACTTAAAATAAATTATGATTACTAATTTTTAAACATATTATTAGATATTAGAATATTTAATCATACATTATTCTTTCACATTAGGTTATATTGAATTTTTGGAAACTCTTTTGTACATTTTCAAGCCAAATCGTAATCAAATAATACGTAGACATTTCGGAAAAGTGCCAAAAAGTGCCAAAAAAAGTACCATAATTGTATATATTTTTTAATGGGGACTTAGATGTGTGCACTGTGAATATTTTCGTACTGTCAATTCATATAATAATAATAATAACAATCGATCTTTGACCAGGTTTAAAATTGATAAACTTGTTAGGGTGATATGGTAGTTTTGATTATTGAATGAAATCTAATCTAATGAATTCTAAACTAGAAGCTATACCTACCTAATATCATCTCTCGTTGTTATATGGATAACTTTTAAGTTGAACATATTAATATCTTATAAAATATTCAAAACTTTGAGTTAGTGTAGACATTATTTTTTATAAGCGAATTCCACTTTCGTTTCAAATGTAAATTACAAAGGTTGTTTTGTCCGTTTTAGTGTCTACGGGGTCAAATATAGTGAGGTTTTAATAATTTCGTTCGCGCATTTGAAATAAAGTGTTTTAAATATTTGTATTCCTATAAGAACCTAACGTTTTCACCGCTCCTTACATAAATTCGTTTGAATATATTAAAAAACAATTTTTGGTGGATACAAAAAGTCTGAGAATTAAAACAAAGGTCATACAGGCTTATAAAGCGGCGCATCCGAGTTGGGTCCCAAGTACTAGGGATAAATCACAGGTACAACACTAGTTGGGTCCTGGATTTTTTTAGGTACTACACTAGTTGGGTCCAGGATATTTTTGGGTACCACACTAGTTGGGTCTGAGATTATTTTAAGTAAATATACAATCCAAACGAAAAATGATATTGAACGATGGAGATGCACTCAGAGAACATGTAAGTCATTTTTTTAAATATTCCAACGATCAATTTATCAAAATTTATAAAAAACAAAATGAATCAAAAAAATGCAGGAATAATAAATCGATTTGATTTTGCAAATTTAATGTCTTAAAAAATTTTAAGAACACACGTGTGATTTCTTTAAACAATATTTTATTTATATTATACAATACCTATGTATTTTTTATATTTGATTTATAACAATTTTAATATTTTTCTTTGTTTAGTACCTGCATGTTATTGCCATTTATTATTCAAATAAAATTCTAATAATTTATATTTTTAATGGCAAATAAACTAAAAAAATAAATTGTAAAAAACATTTTTAACCATAACTTTGGTCTAAATAAACAGTCATAAGTCTGTTAAAAAGGGAAGGAAAATAAACTTATGTAGTACTCAAAAAAAAAAAAAATTAAGACCTCAACTATTGTTGTACGTGTGAAAATTCCGGACCCAACTAGTGTAG